TGGGCTTTTTTGTATTTATAGTGATCTCCTCAATTTATAGTATGTTCTCATATTTCCATCCTCATGACAGGTAGTCGCAAAGGTCCCGAGAATTCAGAGATGTGTAGTAGTGTGCCTCAGTGGAAAAAGGCTTCCCAAACAACTGGTGAACTCCTGTGTATTATATAGATCCGTGCAAAATAATTTCTGAACATACTTAATTATTTAGGTGGCACCCTTGCTCACAGACTAGGTTTGTGAGAACAGCCATAGAGTTTTGAAGTCTGAGAAAAATGAAGCAAATATGAAAGTGTTATCAAGGAAAGGGTAAAAATTTTTGAAGGACAAATTTCAGAAAGGGCTACCTGTTAAATTTTCATCAAAAAATGCTGAAATTCAGGCATTTGCATGCACATATACACGTGATATCCTTCTGAATGGAAAGGAATAGGTGTGTCATCTCTGAATTAAGAGCTGATTTAGTGTCTTGGTTGTTCATAGACAGTTTAAATATGGAAATGCACTGCAATGGAATTTATGAAGTGGTGTAAAGCAGAAGCTCTAAACAGAAATTTTGCAGTGATATCAATAGTTAGGCATAAAGGTTTTCCTGCTGAGGATGGATCAGAGGAGTGTGGAAAGGATGTGCAAGTGACTGACAGAATTCAGGAAGCCAATAGCAGGACATACAACAGAGAGGGTCTTCACTGAAATTCAGTTAGTTCTTAGAGTAAGTGTAAAGTTAAAGTTGGGTTCTGATTGCTTCCTGGAGGTGATCAACACCAGCTCTGGCAACAATCAGTATTTCACATCCTTGTCAACCCATGAATTTTGTGTTCCATACTTGAGATCTAATTGGGATTATCTCTAATTATGCCCCCAGTGTCATGAAGGTAAAATGTGCATTTTTTTTGTACCAAGGATCAAACTCATGACCTATGCTTTCAGGCAGGTGTTCATGCCACTGAGCTAAGTACCCAACTTTCTCTTTGTTGTATGGAAGATATCCACATTGTTTCTCATAAAGTGTTGATGATTGTTGGAATTTTTCCATATTGTATGGCTATAATTTTTAAAAACAAACTAAAGGTGTCTTATGCAGTCTCTTTTCAAGTTTCACTTGGTCTGTGGGGTGTCTCAGTCTTGGTTTATCTACTTTAGACAGCTCTGTAACTTAGGATAGTCCCAAATTCAAGGAAGAAATCCTTCACCAGCCTCACAAGATATATTCCTTATATCTGAATTGAAAGTGATCACTTGGTGACAGTGAGCTATAAATTACAGCTTGGGCCTGGTTCCATTTTATATACTTATTTTTTAAAAACAGCATTTTCCACTAACATTTGAGTTATTATTTGTGTACCATATTGGAGGTTATTTATGTTTTGTTCTATGAAACCAAATTCATGTTTCAAAATGCTGCTGAAGTATATTAAGAACAAAGTACTCACTGGCCTAAATGAGATTTGAAGAGACATTATCTGCAGCCTATCAAGGTGATTGATGAGTTTTTTTTCCCTTTTTCAAATTTTGAAAGTGGTAAAATAAAACAGAACAAGGCAGAATAAGGCCAACTAAGATCATACAGTGAAATTGGTACACAATTTCACAACAGGTTCCTGCAATAGCAGTAATAGGTATCACAGTATATTTTATTACCTTTATAATAGTTGTTCTTTCAAACACATATATCAAAATGAGATGAAATACAGAACATTATAGTACTTATCAAAATAGAATTTTGAATAGAGCAATACCATTAATCAGAATAGAGTAAAACAGTAATAAAAATATTTAGCTTCAAAGAGATAGTAGAAGGAAGTTCTCCTTATTTGTTATGGTCTGCTTCCCAGGAGACACTCAGATTTCTGTTCCCCATTTGCTAACGGGGGGTGACAGAAGAGGGGTAGGGAAGTGGGATGTTTGATTCTAGGCCGTGTATCAGTAGGTTCACTATTGCTTACTAGGGAGACAGGCTGGTTGTTTGGTTTCACAACGTCCTAAGTTCCCATATGGCGTGGATCTCAGGAGCTGCTGCTGGTTCTCCCCTGCAAGGGCCACATTCAGCCAGACCACCACTGCTTACCAGGGAGAAGTGGTGCTTGCTTAACTTCCAAGTGTCCTAAATTCCAGCATGGCCTGGATCTCAGGAGCTGCTGCTGGTTTGCCCCCTGGATGGGCCACAGTCTGCCACACTGCCACCACTTACCAGGGAAGGGAGGTGCTTGCTTGGCTTCCCAGTTGATTGATGGGATATTTATCTGTGTCTGTGCTTTGTGGATGCTGGTCCTGCAGGCTTCTCACTGTGAGCTCTGCATTAGAGACAGTACACAGGGAATATTGCAGTGACTCAGCACAAGAATCAGTGCTCCTATTTTACTTTTACAATAGCAGTGAGTTGCAATCTATCATCAAATTTGCTGTCTTCAAAAATGTGTATATACACAAAATTAGTGACCAAGAGATGGATTTAAATTTGAAAACATCATTCTTCATTCAGCTGTTTTGTTTGGTTGTACTTGTTTAGTTTTGTTTTGTTTTATTGAGACAAGCTTTCTATATGTATATCAGCTGGATTTGAATACCCTATGGAGCCTAAAATTGCCCTGAACTCACTGAAACCATCCTGCCTCAGCCTTTTGAGTGCTGGCATTATAGATATATACCACCACACTTTGCTTTTGATTCAGATTTGTAGGAGAGAATTTAAGATATCCCAAACCTGGTGTCTCAACCTTCGTGGGAGAAATATATCTGTGGTCCTTTAGGAGGTGGTGAGCTTTGAGGATGTGGTCGTGAACTTCAGCAATGAGGAGTGGACTTTGCTGAGTCCATCCCAAAAGAACCTCTACAGAGATGTGATGGGCGAAACCTTTAGGAACATGAGTGCAATAGGTAAGGACAAAATACTTTTGTCACTCATGCTGTCAGAATGTTGTATGTCGCTCATCAGTGCTGTTTCATTAAACACAATGTGAAAATATTTTTAAAAATAACTCAGACCTGGACACATTATATCATAACTCTAAACAAAATCTATTAATTTGTATGTATTATTCTAATGAGCACTGGTATTTCTATGTCTGCAATTCAGGAGGACTTGGGGATATCCAGGAAGCTGAAAAAGAATGCAAAATTTACTGGAGATACTTAAGGTAATTCGCACTCATAAGGAGAAGGAACGTTCCTGAGTAATTAGTGAGTCAGCAGAAAAATACCGCCAAAGAAATGAGGCACCATTAAATTTATTGTCAGTAATATTCTCTGAAGACATATAAGCTAGGGTATGTATAATGAGTGGATTAAATCAAGAAAATGTATGACATTGCATATAGATGTGTATGAAAGGCATACACTTTGAGTTATGACATTCTCCCTTCAGTTTTACTACCCATATATACATGTGAATACAACACATGCATCATCTAAAAATTGCTAAGTTGCAATAGAATTTGAAATAAAACAGAGTTCTTGTGTTTCCAAGCCATGCTCTAAACAATCAGCCATTCTGACTAAAATTCTTAGAAGGCTGGTAGAATGTTAAATGCACTCATTCTGAATATCAGTGTGCAGTTGTCTCTGGAAATTGATCCCCTCATACTTGTTCTGGATATATTTTAAAAATTCAAAATGCACATAAAATACTGGTACATGCTTACTCATTTACAAAGCAGATCAAGTTATAATAGATCATTCCTTGAAGAAGCTTAGCTATCTATCACTGGATTTGTGGAGAAGGAAAATGTTAACAGACTCTCTGTGATTGTGCATTATTGTAAATCCAGCACACTAGGAATCAGATTTTGCACAATGGCAAATTCAAGTTCAAACTTCACAGCTTAATGATCAGTGAAAATCTCTTAAAACACATTTAAAAAGCTATAGATTTTAGGCTAATAGCTGTTGTTCATTCCCAGCATGGAAAAGAAAAAAAATGTGTTATATAATGTCAACAAATAAATAATATAATGTCATTTGCCATAAGAAATAGGTGGTTCTTTCTCCCATCAATTCAGTGAAATGGCTAAGCTATAAAACCTAAAAGTTCACAGGGTACCTTTTAGATGAGAAACCAAAATATAAATTGTGGAATGAAATGAAAGTGTTAATAGAGAAAAGTAAGACTGACCATATGGAAAAGGGAACTTCAGGTTAAGGACAGAAGGGAGATTGTGATGGGGAAACATATCAGAATGATCTGTATGTGATACACATATGTACTCATGCCCAAAGTGAAGATAAAGATTCTGCATTTCCAAAGGTACCACATTTTAAGATTTCCAAATGTGTACCACTCTTTTGGGAAGGTTGTTTTCAACATGTCTTACAAGGCCATTCTGTTACTTCACGGTCAGAATTTCTTAGAAGACATTAAAAACAGAACTTGACATTAATGCAGTCATAAAACTGAGACCAATTTCACTGTGAGTGTTTCTTTTTTTTATTTAATGTAAGGAAAGACTAAAAAACAAAAACAAAATAAGTAGAAATGATACCACCTTCAAAGTGAAAATAAACAGTAAGAAATCTAAAGACAATGATTACACATGCTGCTCATAGAAATAGTTAATGAAATACAAAAGTGAAACATATGAAGTGGGAATTCAAACAGCGAGACTGCAAACAGTTTTGTTCAAATCTCCAATAAAAACTTAGTAATATGGTTATCAATCCGATATGTGATTTTTTTTTTTTTACAGAAATGACAAACTAGAGAAATCCTATGGACATACATCTTGGAATCAGTGTAAAGAAGTATTCCTTTGTACTGCAGAAGGTAATGTGAATGTGAAAGAAGCAGAAACACACCATAATGTTCAGATCCATGAAAAATATTGCAGTGGACAGAAATCCTATGTATGTCAGCAATGTGGAAAAGGTTTCACCAAATCTGGACATTGTAAGCAACATGAAAGAATTCACACTGGAGAGAAACCCTATATATGTAAGAAATGTGGGAAGGCTTTTAACACACGGGGATATTTTAAGAAACATGAAAGAATTCACACTGGCAAGAAATCATATATATGTAAGCAATGTGGGAAAGCTTTTAACACACAGGCAAGTTGTAAAATACATGAAAGAATTCACAATGGAGAGAAACCCTATGTATGTAAGCAATGTGGGAAAGCTTTTACCACACATGGACATTGTAAGGCACATGAAATAATTCACACTGGAGTGAAACCATATGTATGTAAGCAATGTGGGAAAGCTTTTATCACACATGGATATTGTAAGGCACATGAAATAATTCACACTGGAGTGAAACCATATATATGTAAGCAATGTGGGAAAGCTTTTAACACAAAGGCAAGTTGTAAAATACATGAAAGAATTCACACTGGAGAGAAACCCTATGTATGTAAGCAATGTGGAAAAGCTTTTACCCAACATGGACATTGTAAGCAACATGAAAGAATTCACACTGGAGAGAAACCCTATGTATGTAAGCAATGTGGGAAAGCTTTTAACACAAGGGAATATTTTAAGAAACATGAAAGAATTCACACTGGAGAGAAACCCTATGTATGTAAGCAATGTGGGAAAGCTTTTACCACACATGGACATTGTAAGCAACATGAAAGAATTCACACTGGAGTGAAACCATATGTATGTAAGCAATGTGGGAAAGCTTTTAACACAAGGGGATATTTTAAGAAACATGAAAGAATTCACACTGGAGAGAAACCCTATGTATGTAACAAATGTGGCAAAGCTTTTAACACGCAGGCAAGTTGTAAAATACATGAAAGAATTCACACTGGAGAGAAACCCTATGTATGTAAGCAATGTGGGAAAGCTTTTACCCAACATGGACATTGTAAGCAACATGAAAGAATTCACACTGGAGAGAAACCCTATGTATGTAAGCAATGTGGAAAAACTTTTACCCGACATGGACATTGTAAGCAACATGAATGTTCATATTCAAGATAAAACCAGTGTATATAAGCATCATGAGAATTTTTTGACCAGACTTACATATTGCATAATGCATGAAAAACTTCACACTGGGCAGAAAACTTATATATCTAAAGGAATGTGGGAAAGGTTTCAGCAGAAATGTTCATCGTCCAATACATGAAAAAATTTACACTGTTGAGACACCCTGTTTATGTGAAGAATGTGGGAAAGCTTTCACCACACATGGATTTTGTAAAATACATCAATGACTCCACACTGGTGGAGAAAACCTATGCATATAAAAATGTGGCAAAGCTTTTACCACATACAGTCATTGCAAAACAGATGAAACAATTCACACTGGGATGAATCACTGGCTACGTAAGCAAGTGGAGACACTTTCAGCATCCAAATTGTAAGTGAAATACATGAAGAAACTCACACAAGAGATAAATCCTATGTGTTATGGGAATACTCTCAGCACACATGATCATTGTTACATATCTGAAAGAGCTCACTGGATCCTGTGTGTATTAACAGTGTGGAACATATGGCAATCCATGTTTGTTGTTAAATACATAGAAAAAGCAGCACTCTTCAGACACTTTAGATCTAAATTTATTTTAAAAATTCCAAGTAGACCTGAAGAAATAATCAATACAGAAGTTTGATGTCAATATTTCTTCACGAATTTTCCAGAAATGACAAATCTGAAGTGGAGCTCTACTCAAGTACACATTTTGTATGGGTTACAGTTAATCACTTATACCTCTTTAGATTTTGTAATGTGTCTTTGTGCTTCAACATGGCATCTTGTAATTAAACATGGTAAACTGAAATGGGCTTTTCAGTTTCAAGTATGGATAGTGTCTATGTACTTAACATTTTGTCTTTAAAACTTAATTTTCATATTTTTGGTGAATTTTTATTTAAAGAAAAAAAAAACCAAAAAGTGTAGAAATAATACAGAATTTCTGAAAAATAAACAATAAGAAATCACTAGTTGATTAATTACATATTCTCATTTTAGAGGTAATTGTTCAAGTTACAAAATTAAAGCATACAAAGTGATATTCAAATAATGACACGGTGAACAGTTTACCTCTGTGATCCAACAAAAACTTATTAATATGCTTATATGTTCTAAAACTTGTTTTTTATCTTAAAGACGGTAAGATTAAACATAACAAAACAAAACAGAACAGTTCATAAGGAAACAAGTTAAGGAAACAGGTTTCAAAGCAAGTCCACTGAGACGTTCATTTTCTGTCTTAATGTCTCTAGTTTTCTTCCAAATAGTTGTTCCCATCTTCAGAAGCATTGAATATATTGAACATTATAGAACTAATCAAATAATTACAGGATGATGTAGGCTTTTTTGATCTTCAAGACTGATGTTGGGGAAGGTGATAATGATTACCATAATGTGTCTCATTTTCTTCATAGTAGATGTCTTTATTTTTATGTATGCTAAAACTGAACATAAGAGACTAAACTAATATCACTCTGAACAGTGAATAATAGTATCCTGAGAAGGAGAAAGGTGAAGAATTGCCTAAAAAAAGAAGGCAGAGGACATTGTTAAAAGTGTATCAGGATTTAAAAGCTACAATAGTTCTGTTGCTCTGTTTAGTTTGATTATATTTTGTTCTGGTCTGTCTACTCATATTAGATTTGAGGGCACAGAGAGGTAACCCAAAAATAGCAGGTTATACCATGATGGTAACTGTCCTTAATTTCCTAAAACTGAAACTCTGTATTACTTACATTGTCTTACTATGACTGATCTTATTGGAAGTAGGTTTGTTTGAATGTTATTTGGCCTTGACTGATTTTATTCACATTTGGTATGCTTGCTGTTATCAAGTCCAAGAGTAAAGGCCACTACTCTGAAGATGATAAGATGTGAAAGATATATATTGGGGGGCTGGGGATTTAGCTCAGTGGCTTAAGCCCCTGCCTGGCAAGCGTTAGGTAATCAGTTTGATCCCCAGTACCAAAAAATAAATAAAAGATATAAATTCCAGGTTTAATTTTTTTTATTTAAAGACAAAAAAAGAACATAAAAAACAAAGCAGTAAAAGGTACAAATCATACAGAATTCCAGAAAAAATACAGTAAGAAATCACTAGTTAATAGGTTACATATTGTCTTCTTAGAAACAGTTGTCCAAATTATAAAATTAAAGCATATAAAGTGAACATTCCTACAGCGAGATTCCAGACAGTTGCATTCAATGAACCAACAAAGCTCAGTAATATGGTTTTCCTTCCTAAACACTCAAACAGGCAATTATATCTCTTAGACTACCTTCGTTTCCTCTCTTCTTCACAATTACATTTACACTTTTGGGTTTTTTTTTACTCCCATAGTTCTTATTACTTTTTTTGAAGAGAATAAAACCTCAAGTGAGTTAAAAAAAAAAAACAGAGTTGGTTAGAACAGAAGGATGGGCATAGTACTTGATGCAAAAATAGAATATCAGGTGATCAAAAATGGTTACCATTGTGCCTCTTGCTATTTTTAAAAAAAAGTTGCTATATCACCAGGTATATTAGAATTGATTGAAACAGTACAGAACAAGACCAATAAAATCTACACTGGAGACCTTACAGGATTTCAAAAGAAGATAATAGTCAAACCATAATGGGCATCATAGTAAATCTTATTGCCTACAAAGTGGTTGCCTATACCCTCAAACTTGATACTGTCAAACAAAATAGAATATAGTAAAATCAGGCAGAACAAGATGCGGAGAGCAATACTGGGGTTAAATTCAGGTTAATAGGAAAACAAAAAAGTTACTATAATATATCCCACTATTTTTAATTTAGTTTTATTTTAATTGAAAAAAAAATAAGAAAACGTAGAATAATTTTTTAAAAGGGCGGAGATCGAGGTAAAAGAGACATTGTCATAGAACAACACAGGTCAGAACTGCACAATTAAAGCATTTTGTTTCACCACCAGATAATCTAACATAATATTAGTCACCATAGTGCCTCTTTCCTTGAATTGTTTGAGTATAATGTCGTATACTATAGAATCAATCATATCAAGACACTGTGAAGCCATTCAAGAGAATGAACTTATTACAGGGTATTTAGAGCCAGTTAACAGAAAATGGACAATGATTTCTATATTATCTCTTTGCCTGTGAAAAATTTTATTTATACTACCACATACAGTAAAATATATTAAGATACAACATGTTAAAACCAGTGGTAACATGTACAACAGCTTGATGGGAATTCCAAAGAAGATAATATTAAATCAGCACTAGCTTTTGTGATGTGTTATTTTCTTCAGAATAGCTATTCGTACTATCACTGATACTAAAATCAAAAAACCCAGGGTAAAACCATTGCACTTAATACCATGTTGATTGTACTACAGTTGCTTTGTAGTATAACTTCAAGTCAGGGGTTGTGGTACCTCCTGCGTTGCTTTTGCTGCTTCTAACTGTCCTTGCTATTCTAGGTTTCTTCTCATCCCAGATGAATTTTAGGGATGATTTCTCAAGTTCTATGAGGTATGTTGATGGTATTATTATCGGGATTGCATTGCACTTAATAATGAGTGAAAACATTATATGGATTCAAACCAATATGATTGGGTATCATGATTACCACATACTTCTATGTGTTATCATTTCTTATACTAGGGAATATATTCAGTATTTATACATGTGAGTTTGATTCATTTCACTTATGTGTATGGTCTCAATCTGCATCTATTTATTTATATGTCAATGTGATCATTCTTTATAGCTGAGTAGTACTCCATTGTATAAAAACACCATAACTTTTTTTTTCCATTCCTCAGTTGATGGACACTTAGGTTGTTTCCAAGGTCAGGCTATTACAAACTGTGCTGCTATAAAAATGGGTGCACATATATCACTGTGGAATGATGCTTTCAGTTCTTCTGAGAATATGCCTAGAAGTAGAATAGCTGGGTCAAAAGGTGCTTCCAGTCCCAGCTTTCTGAGAAATCTCCAGACTGATCTCCACAATGGTTGCACCAGTTTACACTCCCACAAACAGTGGAGAAGAGTTCTTTTTTCCCAACAGCATCTCTAATATGTGTTGTTGGTAGTTTTCTTGATCTTGGCCATTCTTTTAGCAGTGAGATGAAATCTCAGTGTGGTTCTAATTTGCATTTCTCTAATGACCATTAATGGTGAACATTTTTTCATGTATTTATTTGTCATTTGTATTTCTTCATCTCAAAATTGTTTAATTCATCTCAGATGCTCATTTTTGGATTGGGTCTTTGAATTTTGGTGGTCTCATTTTTTAAAATGCTTTATATGTTATAGACAGAAGTCCTCTGGCTGAGGGGCAGTTCACTGAGACTTTTTCCTAGTTTGTGGGTTTTCTTTTAACTATACTGGAGATTTCTTTTGATGTGCAGAAACTGTTTTATAAGAGGTGATCCCAGTTATTGATTCTGGGAAGCATTTCCCATGCGGTTTGAGTCCTGTTCATCAATTCTCTACCTACTCCTATATCTTCAACGTTTTTACCCAATTTGTCTTCCCATAGATTTAGTGTTTCTGTTTTAATATTTAGATCTTTGATCCATTTACATTTTATTTTAGTACATGGTGATAGGCATGGGTCTAGTTTTAGTTTTAGGCATATGGAGAGCCAGTTTTTCACCACCATTTATTAAACAGAATGTCATTCTTCCAGTGAACATGTTTGGCCCATTTATCAAAGATAAGGTAGTTGAGTGTGTTTGTAGTGGTGGTTGTGTCTTCTCATCGATTCCACTGATCTTTGGCTCTGTTTCAATTCCAGTACCATGTTGATTGTACTACAGTTGCTTTGTAGTATAACTTCAAGTCAGGGATTGTGGTACCTCCTGACTTGCTTTTGCTGCTTCTAACTGTCCTTGCTATTCTAGGTTTCTTCTCATCCCAGATGAATTTTAGGGATGATTTCTCAAGTTCTATGAGGTATGTTGATGGTATTTTAATCGGGATTGCATTGCATCTGTATAAAAGTTTTGGGAGAATGGCCATTTTCACAATATTTATTCTTCCTATCCATGAGCAAGGGATGTCTTTCCATTTTCTGAGATCATCTTCAATTTCATTTTTCAG